AAATAAATGATGAAGAAATTTATCACAGCTTTACTGTTCATTCAGGAAAAGAACGTGAAAACGAAAATATCAGAGATGTCACTATAAACGAAATAAAAATCAAAGCACTTCTCGATACTGGATCAGACTTGGACATTATTCATGAAAAATTTACAAGAAATCATGCTTGTCCTAAGTTCGAAAACGTTAAATTCATAAAAAGTTTAGCTGGAATAACAAAATGTAAACACGAAACTGAAGTTGAATTGAACTTAAATGGAAAGTCTTTAAAAATAAGACCAGTAATCGTTTCAAATTTAAGCTTCGATCTAATTATTGGACGAAGAACATTAAAAACATTACAGATATTTACTCCACTTAATGAACAAATAAAAATTATATTCGATGAAAATTATCTTCAAGAGAAATTTCCCAATGTGATCAAATATTCTGATACGAGTCCGTCCCAATTTGAGGTGGAATTTGATTTGAAAGAAGATGCCAAAATTGTTAGAATGAAGCCTTATAGATTTTCACCTAGCCAACAAGAATGGACTAAAAATAAAATTAGAGATATGCTGGAAAAAGGAATAATAAGACACTCGTCGTCAAAATATGCTTCTCCCTGTGTATTGAAATCCAAACCCGACGGGACATACCGGTTATGTATTGATTATAGAAAAGTTAACGAAGAAACAGAATTGGACCCATTCCCTTTTCCTATGATTAATGATATAATTGAGAAATTTGGTGGTTGTAAATATTTTACTAAAATTGACTTAAAAGACGGATTTTGGAACATCAGTATCACAGAAAAAACTCAACATTTCACTGCCTTTGTAACAAGTGATGGACATTTTGAATTCACCAGATTACCATTCGGCTGGAAGAACTCAAGTGCTAAATTTCAGAGGATTATGCAAACAGTTTTGAGTGACTTATTGAATGCCAAAGTAACCGTTTATATAGACGATATCATGTGTGGCGGCTATACGTATTCTGAATGTGAAGAACTGACTTTGAAAATACTAAGGAGGTTGAATGAGAATAATCTGAAGATAAATGTTGGAAAATGTAAATTTTGCGTTCCCAGTGTAACATTTCTTGGAAGAAACATAGATGGCGATATCAAGGTGATGAGAGAGGAAATTATAGAAAAAGTAAAAAATATGAAAAAACCGAATGACTTGAAGGCTCTGCAATGTTTTACAGGATTAACTAATCATTTCAGATCATTTATAAAAAATTATGGTATTATTGTGAAGCCACTTGACGAACTAAAGAGAAAGGACTCAAAATTCATTTGGACAAATAAATGTGATGAGGCTTTCAATAAATTGATAAATATAATAACTTCTGAACCAATCCTGAAAATTCCTGATCCTAGACTAAATTATGAGCTATCTGCTGATTCTTCTTATTATGGGTGTGGGGCAATATTATACCAACGGAACCCCAGTGAAGAAAAGAGCAGGCAACTGAGAGTAATTAGCTATTATTCATATACATTTTCTAGGAGTGAACAAAATTATTCAGTCACGGAAAAAGAGTGCCTCGCAGTTGTGAAAGCAGTAAAACATTTTCGTACTTACCTTGATGGAAGGAAGTTTATAGTACACACTGACCATAGAGCCCTTACACAGTTACTATCTACTGGCAATTTAAGGGATCGACTTGCAAGGTGGCAGATATTTCTCAGATCTTTCGATATGCAGATTAATCATAAAAGAGGTAAAGAAATACAAGATGCAGATGCAATATCTAGGCTGTGCATTAACATACCTGAAGACACCCCTGAGAGCTTTTGGTGTAATTTGAATATTCAGAATTTAGAAAAAATGGCTGATGGTAGGTATTTAGTGAAGAACAGAGATATGGTGACAGAAATCTTAACCCTATACCATGATGATCCATATTCTGGTGGTCATGATGGATATTATAAATGCTATTACAAAATCAAAAATCGATTTTACTGGAAGACGATGAACAAGGATATCAAAGAATATGTAAAAACTTGTATAGTTTGTCAGCACGTTAAATTTAAATATCTACCCAAACCAGATTTCATCCACTTAACTTCGTGTTCAAAATTACCATTTGAGACCGTTCACATAGATTTTGCAGAAATCAGTAAAAAGTCAGATACAAATCAGTCCACTAAATCTTTCATAATTTTGGTTGATGAAGCTACTAGACATGTGTATGCTAAATCTTTGAAGGAATCATCAGTGGCAGTTCGAAATTATTTACAAGGACTCCCATTTGTGAAACAAATAAAAAATATCGTAAGTGATTGTGGCCTTGCTTTCACTTCAAGAATAATGTCAGAATGGGCGGAAACAAATAGAATAAATTTAATACAGACAAGTCCATATCATCCAGCAGGAAATGGTATTGCTGAACGGACAGTAAGAGAACTGAAAACATTCATGAAATATTATGAACATTTCCCAGGTGGTTGGAAGAAATCTTTGGAGTGCGCTGTTCAACATCATAATTCATCGCACAACGAATATTTAGGGTGTTCTCCCCATTTCAAGTTATATGGAAAATCGAAAATACTGCAAGCCGATAAAGATCTGGACATTGATATCAACATTATGGAGACCCCAAAGACTGATGAAGAACAGAAGATATACAAAATCAGAATTCAAGAGCAAGCAAATAGGCATAAGAAAAAAAAAGCCGCCTAATTTAAAAGTGGGTGATTGGATTTTGACCAGAAATCAAAAGGTCGGAAAAGAGTATGTCACGAAAGGTCCATTTCAAGTTTGCAGAGTGAAATATATCAATGGCGTACTTGCTTATGTGAATTATCTTAATGAAGATAGAGAAGACAGTGCTCATATATCTAATATACGTCAATTCCATCACAGGAGTGATGTATGCTTTGAAGAAGGGGGTATTGTAGGAATATTGGACCAAGCTGTATATAATGAATAATTGAATGTGGTAGTTAGGGATTGTTATTGATAATTTATGTCATTCAATATTGTCATAAGATAAAATAAAATACATTTATTATAAAATCTATTCAGATTTATTACAACAATTACTCAACAAGAGCAACAAACAATTTACGGCCAAATAGATTAAAATCTACCAGAACTCAAAACTCAATAACTTGGAAAGCTGTTAATCATTATGATAACCAATCTTTGGTAGAAGTCCATGGTTTCTCAAAGTGGAGTCAAGTATTAAATACTAAATGATGAACGAAGTCATCTCCACGACATTTAATTCTGATTAACACATCAAAATTGGTTGGTACATGTTTCGGACATATATATGTCCATCATCAGCCTTATAAGAAATTACATAATTAGTGTCATGGGGATAAAAAAGAGGTTATGTGGCCAACTCCCTTGGCAATCCTCGCTGTTCGTTGGATGAACGAGTTTTGGAAAGAGATGTTCTGCATGACTCAATAGTTGTAGATTAAGAATATACAGTGTGTCCCACTCACCATGCTCACCATGGGTATCTTTTAAACGGTGAGAGATACGAGGTCGGTTAAATGACACCAAATGTGGAGTTTGTCAAGGCCAACTATAATCTGAAAAAAAAAATTTGATAAAATCTATTCGTTTTTGTTTTATACGCAAAAAACAGATTTTGATCATTTTCATGTCTCCTCCGTAACTTCTTTATTTATGAAAATATTCAACATTCTCATGGCAGTTTTTCAAAGTGATTTCGAAAAGAAAATGAAATTTATACCAACTCTTCTAGAATTTGAGATATCAGCACCAACTTTAGTTTTTCAGATGTAGGTCATAGCTCACTATGACTCAGTTACAAATAACTTTTTTTTCTTTTCCAGATGATATGTCGCAGTAATAGTTTTGTGTTGATAACAACGGAGTTATCGTCATTTATACAAGAACAAAAAAATTATTTGGAAGCCGCCATCTTGAATTTATAAATTTTAACAAAAAAATCATGATCTCCGACCTCAAAAACCCCCACTTACCAATTTTGAATGGAATCGGACCAAATCTTGTCCGCCATCTTGGAGCAGCCATTTTTTTTAATTTCAACAAAAATTCCATAATGTATTGTCACCGAAATTATGAACACCTGTCAAATTTCAAGTTAATCGGAGTTATGGAATTTTTGTTGAAATTGAAAAAAATGGCTGCTCCAAGATGGCGTACAAGATTTGGTCCGATTCCATTCAAAATTGGTAAGTGGGGGTTTTTGAGGTCGGAGATCATGATTTTTTTGTTAAAATTTATAATTTCAAGATGGCGGCTTCCAAATAATTTTTTGTTCTTGTATAAATGACGATAACTCCGTTGTTATCAACACACAACTATTACTGCGACATATCTGGAAGAGAAAAAAAAGTTATTTGTAACAAAGTCATAGTGAGCTATGACCTACATTTGAAACACTAAAGTTGGTGCTGATATCTCAAATTCTAGAAAAGTTGGTATAAATTTCTTATTTCTTTCGAAATCTCTTCGAAAAACTGCCATGAGAATGTTAAATCCCTATTTGAATATTTTAATAAATAAAGAAGTTACGGAGGAGACATGAAAATGATCAAAATCTGTTTTTTGCGTATAAAACAAAAACGAATAGATTTTATCAGAATGTTTTTTCACATTATAGTTGGCCCTGACAAACTCCGCATTTGGTGTCATTTAACCGACCTCGTATCTCTCACCGTTAAAAAGATACCCATGGTGAGCATGGTAAGTGGGACACACTGTATACTAATACCAGGAGACCTTATTTCCCTCAGCTGAACCCTCGGCATTCATAATATTGGTACCTAGGTGATATACTACCATGGTGTAGGAATAAGTATTTTATTACACAATTATAACAAATATCAGAAAAGCTCAATATTTACAAGTGAGTTACTGAACATCCACAAACTTGAACAATTCTCAGATCTACTGTTACCTTAGTTGTTGAAATACCTTTTCAAGATATTCCTAAAATTTGGCTGTCTCTTGTATGTGAATGCATATTGGAAAACAAAGAAAGGAAAATAAAATGAATTCTCACTGTCAAAGAACAAAACTATCCAGTCGCAACTTCCCTTCGTTTTCTGTCAGATAAATCAAGTCGGCCAAGGTCTGATCACAAATTGCTTCCTCGGCTTTCTCACACATCTGGAAAAATAAAAAACAGTCAGTTCATCATAATCATGAGGAAGCCCAATCAAGGTTGCCAACAGAACAGTCCATTGAATTTCAGAAAGTATCATTTGAATTTCAGAAAATTTATTTGTCAATATTCCTGTCAATATTTATTTTATTTATTTATTTATTGAACAAATAACTTCCAGACAGAATAGGCTCTGGTATTAAGGAAGTACATAATTATATACCTATAGGTAAACATATCATTATTCAAAATATATCAACAACTGTAAACAAAGAATATTCGTAAAAAAAATGACATGATTAATTTAATCCAGTTCGCTCAGAAATAATCAGTTCTTTCACTTCATTTTTGAATGTACCTATATTTCTGCAATTTTTTCTATTGCCAGGTAGTTTATTGAAATGCTGAATGAGTGAATCTTTTTTGTCCGATTATGAAGCTAGCGGCGTCGAGATGAAACAATAAGTTATATTGTCTAGTTTCATGATTATGAATTTCAGAATTCCATATCAAAATAAAATTCGACTTTAATTTTTTAATAATAATAATAATAAACGCTCTTTATTGGTTATAAATTACAACCAAAAGGCCATCGACCGAAGTCCTGCAGCCAGTAAATTTCAATATACATGATATTTCAATAATTTCATTCGCATAAAAATGTAAATTAAAAAAAAAAAGAAAAAAAAATTGAATTTATAAATCTTCAGTCCAACTGATCTTCACTAAATGATGTAAGTATTTCTTGTATTGTTCTTTCTGGGAATTTGAATCATGATCTCATATCTTCTCTTGGAATCAAATGGGGTATTAAAAGCTCCATGTTGTTAGTCTTGAGGGCGAATTTTTGGGATAACTTCCTCAGCCGTTCTCGTATTGGTTCTATTTTAGTTTTGTGGTACTAATATTGATTAGATGGGTTGTGTAGATAGTTGTCAGGGTGTCTCATTCTAGTTATCGTTCTTAGGGATGACGTTTCTGCAGTTTTTAAATTCTGGATGGGAGGATTTCTGCAGTTTAGATATATTGTATGTCCGTAGTCCAACGAAGGTCTGCATATGGATTTATATATCTTAGCTGCTGCTCCGATGTTGATGCCATTTTGTTTGTATGTAAGACTTCTGAAATATTTTGATCTCGATGTTATTTTTTGTTTACAGATTTTGGAGTGATACTTGAAATTCAGTTTACTGTCCAGGTGGACTCCAAGGTACTTCACTGTGTTGGTGGGGTTGATCTCATGATTGGCTATCGTCACCGTTGGGGAATTATCATTTATTACATGATTAAATAGCATTAGCTGACATTTTTGAGGATGAACTTTAAGTCTCCAATCATTCAGCCAATTCACGGCATTGTCTATGTGGGTTTGTAAACGTGCAATTGAGCTTTCTAATTTTCTATCATGTGATATCAGGGCTGTGTCATCGGCGTATTGTATGGTGTAACATTTGGTGGGGTGCTCTAGTTGTTGGAGAAAATCATAGCAGTAAATGTTGTACAGCATCGGTGATAATGGGGCTCCTTGTGGTACACCTTGTTGTGCAGTGAAAGGATGGGACTTTGAACCATTTATTGAGACAAATAGCTTTCTGTCTTCCAAGAAACTTTTAATAATATGAATGAGGTTAACTGGCACTTCTAGAAGCATCATTTTATGAAGCAGTCCTTTATGCCATACACTGTCGAATGCTTTTTTGATATCCAGGAAGCATGCAGCTGTTTTATGGTTGTTGAGTTTTGTTGGTTGGACATTCGAAACGAGTATGGTTAGTGGATGTATTGTTGACCTTAGATTTCGGAAGCCAAACGGAGAGTTGGGAATTTTGTCATCTATTGCCACAGCGATTTTCTGTTTGTCGATTTTTTTCTAGCAGTTTTCCTAATATTGGTAGTAATGTGATTGGTCTATAGTTTCCAACATTCAATTTTTTATTTATGATATTATATGATATTTTAAGAGTTTCAATTCTATATATTTCATCTAAAGAATACGTATTTGTTATTTCAAACAATGGGCTTATATCACAAAAAAAATTATTTCATAATTCGATGGAACTCACCCTAACTAGCTCACCACCGCAAACCGTTTCTTGCTGTGGGCTCCCTACGTTTTATAAAAAATTATTGAAATCCTCGATTTTTCGGACCTCTGAAAACGAGGCGATGATGTGACGTCACAACCCTAATACTGAAACAAGACTATTCCAGGCAGAGATGAATGCTACATGATTTCTGACAGAGTGAATTGGCGCGAGATCACAGTTGGAAGAATTAATATATCAGTTGCCTCAGTCTCCGTCGGGCGTTTGGTATTTTCTTTTGACTATGGCAAGATGAGGTTTCTACGTCATAAGAGGGTCCGTTTTTAGATGGTACTATTATTTATGTCCAAAAATAAAACATTCCAGTTAATTTTTCGATCCAATTATGTCGTCAATCATTATTTATGTATAGAAGTATCATTATAAACATGGTTTGAGTTAAAAGTTCTACTAATAAGGTGTACACGCCCATTGATTGGTTGGTGTATCAAATGGGAGACGATACAATACTTTTAACAATTTTCAATATAATGTTGATATTTTATTGAAATTATTTTTTGAACAAGATCCCCCAACATTTATTAAATTACATCTATTGAACAGACGATAAGAATTTGGAAAAAAAATCTATATAAACACCGAAGCAAGTAGACATCGAAATTACAGGTCACTTAGCTAGAAGAATGATATACAGTGTCTATTGGTCAGTTTTAGCTGTTAGTCAGCGGAGTGAAAAAATATATTATGAAAAAAACTGAGCATGAACTTCAAATTCAAAAGCTTGACAAGTCCACTCACTGTAAACAAAGAATATTCGTAAAAAAATGACATGATTAATTTAATCCAGTTCGGTCAGAAATAACCAGTTCTTTCACTTCATTTTTGAATGTACCTATATCTCTGCAATTTTTTTTATTGCCAGGTAGTTTATTGAATTCAGTTAAGGCTGAATGAGTGAATCTTTTTTGTCCGATTATGGAGCTAGCGGCGTCGAGATGAAACAAGTTATATTGTCTAGTTTTATGATTATGAATTTCAGAATTCCGTATCAAAATAAAATTCGACTTCAATTTTTTATTTATGATATTATATGATATTTCAAGAGTTTCAATTCCATATATTTCATCTAAATAATACGTATTTGTTATTTCAAACAATTGATTGGTTGGTGTATCAAATGGGAGACGATACAATACTTTTAACAATTTTCAATATAATGTTGATATTTTATTGAAATTATTTTTTGAACAAGATCCCCCAACATTTATTAAATTACATCTATTGAACAGACGATAAGAATTTGGAAAAAAAATCTATATAAACACCGAAGCAAGTAGACATCGAAATTACAGGTCACTTAGCTAGAAGAATGATATACAGTGACTATTGGTCAGTTTTAGCTGTTAGTCAGCGGAGCGAAAATAGTAGATTGTTTTATTAGGATCAAAAGTGACACTTTGTTTGACAAGCGAATTTTGCATTTGCGAGGCGGAGCGTTTAGCGAAGCCGAGCGAAAGCAAAATTTGCGAGTCGAACAAAGTCACTTTTGATCCGAATGAAACATGCTATTTTTTCTGCAACCGAAACAATTAACTCAAATAAATATGTGAAGTTACCACCAATGCCGTGCCATTTGTGTGCAATGCAACAAATATTGACAAATAATCCATGTGGTGAGAATATTCTACCTGCATTAACAGCAGGTTAGGTTTTCTAGGATGTTCGAATTGTAGTTTCAATATAAATACAACCACAGAGTGACATATTTGTGTATGGACCAGGTGCTCTAATGGCAAATACCGCGCCTGTGCCAGCTATAGGAACAAGACGTGGAAAATGTTAGGGTTAGTGAGCATATCAACAATGATAATAGTGATTATTTATTCCACTCCATACTACACTGTGTTTGACTTGATAATCGAATGAAGCTAAACAATATCGCTGTTTGAGACAAAAAAACTATTGCTTGCCGTGGTTATTCAAAAACAAGTTATCCATCCCGAGAATAACGAATTAAATACAGATCAAGCAAGTATTTGAATCTTGAAGGCTTCCCTGATCAAAACAAAAATACTTAACTGAGATGTTTATAATTCCAATACTAAACTATAATAAGATGTATTTATATCTCCAGCATGGGTATGTAATGCCAAATCTGCTGAAATCGGAAACATATCAGGTATGCGTCTCAACCCAAATAACCAACCGTCAAAATGTTGTTTATTCTTGATGACGTCCAGTAGTTCCTTTTTAGTTCCTAGGAGGTAAAGTTCAACTTTAGCTCCTAGGAACTAAAATTCAACTTTAGCTCCTAGGAACTAAATATGTTGCCTAGCAACATACCTATTTTTGTGTTAGTAATAGAAACGTCAATTTAAGAGCTAATTTTGGTATCAAAATGGACGACTTTTGTGTCGGTTGCAGAAAAAATATATTATGAAAAAACTGAGCATGAACTTGAAATTCAAAAGCTTGACAAAGTCCACTCACCGGCCTATAGTCGAACTCCCCTTCCGCCGGCGGGCACTTGAACACCGGCCCGAAGTTCACCGACACGGTAACATTTCTGTGCAGCGACAGCACGGGAAAGTAGCCACCCTGGTATACGTCCTCGAAGGCGACGCCCTGGCAGACGCCGTTCTTGAAGAAGATAATTTTGCTGTCAGGCAGCGCGACGAGCGCCTTCAGCCGCTCCTGGACGTTGTCTTTGTCCTCATAGTAGAGGTGGCTCTTGAATTTCACCAACGGCTGAAAGGGAAATGGGACTTTTCAGTCAGTCAGTCAGTCAGCCAGTCAGTCAGTCAGTCAGTCAGTCAGTCATTAGTTAATTTCGACTAGGGTCCCTTGATGTAAATTGACGTATTTGTCATCTCAACAGGGTACGGACAGATCCTCGTCTCCTCTCACTCTAAAGTGTTTGTGAACAGTTGTTATATAGTTCCATCCTTATTAAATTCTGGGGATAAACACTAGATTTTTGATATTCATTGTTTTTTAGGTTATATTGAGGTCACTGGCGTATCATACGTAATTTCCATATGGAATTCCTGATTCAACTATACCAAGATATAGATGAACAATCCTCTAGTTTTAGAGTTTACTACTCCAGCATAATCTTTGCGGGGTAGGGAACATATAAATTGTACTGAAAGCTTAATATATTTCACCAGAAGAGACTGTTCTCAGACTGTATACCAGTGTTGACTGACTAAAAGAATTCTGATTTCAAGCTGAGCAGAAGTTTATCTATGAGCTGAATGAGCTGAGCGTTATAATTGAGAAATGGCGGAACCCTTGATATGGGGGTATCTGAACTACTGTACTCATGTCATGTGTGCTAAATATATTTTCGGAAATCCAATTCAGAGAAGAATTTATGGACTGACTAATATCACACTATATGTATAAAACATCGTCTGGGACGAAAAGTAGGCTGATAAAAAGTAATACGTAAAAAAGAGATCGTAAAAAGTACAGGAAAATAAAAAATAGAATATACTCATGATTTTTTCGTCTCCTTTAAATGAAAAGTCATCTTCGAATAATTTATTGATGAAAGTAACAAAGAAGTAGGTATACGCAGTATAACTTATATACACGTTATTTTCACTCTTGCCTCCTACATATTTTCTATTTGTGGTAGAGTAATAATTATATAAACTAATGTCTTTCGCCATATTGGATCTGTCATCTTGAATTTCAAAATTTTGACGAAACTATCATTATCTCCTATTCCGAAAACCCCCAGATACCAATTTTGATGGAATCGGATCTTCATCATTACAAAACTCGTTAGCCATATTGGATCCGCTATCTCGAATTTCCCAATTTTGACAAAAAAATCATGAAGTTCGACCCCGAAAACCCTCAGATATCTTATATAGAATCAGATCATAATTAGAAATTTCTTTCGCTATACATTGGATCCGTCATCTTGAATTTTCGAAGTTGGACGACACAATCATTATCTCCAACCCCGGAAAACCCCAGATACCTTCCAATTTTGAATAGAATCGGATCATAATTACGAAACTCGATCACCATATGATCTTCCTCAACAAGTTAATACCCTGTACATAACCATTATTAAATTTTTGAATGATTTTCTGTAGCGCTCATGGATGTGACGTGACAGCAATGTCAGGGATGCCAGTAGACAGAACCAAAGTCTCTAGATCATTAAAAAAGAATGCAGCTATGATCTGTCCGTACCCTGTTAAGATGACTTCAACGTCAATTTACATCAAGGGACCCTAGTCGAAACTAGGGTCCCTTGATGGAAATTGACGTATTTGTCATCTTAACAGGGTACGGACATATCCTCGTCTCCTCTCACTCTAAAGTGCTTGTGAAACAGTTATACAGGGTGTTTCATGAGAAGACTCACATAGCCGAATGGTTAATAGGGGAAATCAAGACGAGTTAATGTATATATATGAAAACATATTTTGACCCTCCATAACGAAGGGTATTATGTGAAATTGCTATATAACTTTAATGGTCGATATTACAGAAATGATTCGTCGTAATCTGCTGAAATTTGGCAAGCGACGTATCTCAACTAAAACTATTCAAGATAACATATTATGAAAAAAAATTCCAGGTCCGGACTTGGGAAAATTTGATGTTTCATTGTTATGTCAAACAAGTTCACTTTGTGACCACTTTTCTCAAAAAATTCAATCAGATTCAGGAAGATGAGACAAAATGCTATAAGAACTGCTCTTCAATTTACACGGCACACTTTGACCGGTTCAACAAAAAAATATGAAACAAAAACATTCGAATAAATTTCCAATTTCAACCTGGCTGATAACTCTCAACTTTTAAGTGGATTCGTGTAAATTGATTTTTTGTACATTTTCATTGGATAGAAAGTGACAAAAGAGATTAGTTCTGATTTCTTTATGATTTGACATGTTAGTTTTTGACCGAACTTCTAGATATATGATTACTCGTGACTCTATTTTATAAATTTATTATAAAGTGGGCCCTGATTTTATTTTATGTAACATGACGTTTGTTGATAGGTAAACACTGGTAATCGAAATATTCTTACACTCTAGGTGCCACTTCATATTCCAAATGCTGAACAAGACGAAAATCCAAATGCTATGCTATGTTCAATACCATAGAATATTTCCAGACCCAAGAATACGTTGCAGTAAAACCTTCACGAAGATGAACATTAGGAATTTTGAATAAATAGCAAATGCATATCCTTATTTCACTTGCAGAAGTGTATCAATACCAAAAAAATAAGCTAAGTTTATGCGTGATGGCATAACTAATTTGATAAATCACCATAATATGGGCACATGAATCCTCATGTTATAATTTCATCAGTTGGTACCTACCTAGTACTAGCCTAGTACCTACCTATCAGTTCGGATTATTAACAAACGTCACGTCTCGTCACACGAATGAAAAACAGGACCTACTCGATATCTCACTTCAAGCGACACCCATAAAACAAAGTCAGGAATAATAATATCTATCTGGAATTTCGATAGAAAATATCGTGTTTTTTCTTCCCGTCTATCTTTCTGTCAATTACTATCCGACAAGAATGTAGAAAAATCAATTCACAGGATACCAGTTGAAAGTTGACAGTTATCAGCCGAAATTCAAAATTCATTCGAACGATTTTGTTCCATATTTTTCAATTGGACCGGTCAAAGTGTGCCGTGTAAATTGAAGAGCAGTTCCCATAGAATTTTGTCTGATCTTTCTGAATCTGATGGAATTTTTCGAGAAAAGTGGTCAAAAAATGAACTTTTTTGACATAACAATGAAACATAAAATTCCGGACCTGGATATTTTTTTTTATAATATGTTATCTTGAATAGTTTCTGTAGAAATACGTCGCTGCCAAATTTCAGCAGATCACGACGAATCATTTCTGTAATATCGACGATCAAAGTTATATAGCAATTTCACAAAATACCCTGTATCTTCGTTATGGAGGGTCAAAAAATGTTTTCATATATATACATCAACTCGTCTTGATTTCCCCTATTAACCATTCGGCTATGTGAGTCTTCTCATGAAACACCCTGTATAGTTCCATCTTTATTCATTTCTGGGGTTGAACACTAGATTTCTGACATTCGTTGTTTTTTAGGTTGTATTGAGGACATTGGCGTATCGTTCGTAATTTCCACATGTAATTCCTCATTCAAATGATGATGATAATGATAATTTTCGAGTTTTTGATTTTTCAACTCGAGCATAATCTTTGTGAGGCAGTGAGCATATTTTTCTGAAAGGTCAATACGTTTTACCTAATTGGACTGTTCTTAGGCAGTATCTATCAATAAATGAATATTGATTTCAGACTAAGCCTTATGGTAGAGAAATGGTGAAAAATTGTATGTAGATGTTCAAACTAATGTGCTCATTATGTCATGTGTGCTGTATACAGTCTGTCCAAGATAAGGTTGAACAGCATGGGGATCTCGAAAACGGTAAGAGATACGAAATCGGTTAAATGGGGAAAAAGTTGCGCATTCGGAGGCTCGTATTAAGAGCCTTCGAAAATTTTGAAAATTATTTTTAGTTTTTGAGTTATATCGAAAAAAGTGAATTTTTGGAATTTCTATTTTATTTTTTTTCTCCGTTATTATTAGAGATACAGCAAAACTGAGAATACTTTTTCATAGCAACTTTTGATGACGGTCAACGTGGTGATACCGATTTTTTCATGCGACGTTTCGTATTCGTGGAACCATCATCAACTTTTGTTTTTTAAATACGGTCCTGATAATTTTTTCACAGATTCTAAAAGGTTTTTTTATTCTGAATTCAACCATGTATTATACAAGGTGGTTCATTTGTGTTTCGACCTATTTTTGGCCATCATCAATGTTTTTTTGAAACTCCAAAGGAAAAATGCCATCAGTTCCACTTATTTTGAAGGAAAATTAGTCAACATACAAATACCTCATCAACTGGTTTCAATCAACAACCCATTTCATTTTGCGGAAACAAAAATTCCATCCATACAAATTCAGAATATGTCAAGCGCTAAAACCAGGAGATGACGAAAGGCGCAAGACATCCTGTGAGTGGTATACCAGGAAATGTTAAAATTTTGCAGATTTCTTTCGAACAATCATCTGGACTGATGAAAGCATGGTCACTAATCATGGTAGCTTCGATAGAAAAAATACACATTATTGTTCACGAGAAAATGAACATTTATACATTACAGCGAGACACCAACACCGTTTCGGCTTTAATATGTGGGTTGCAATATTTGGTACACGAATTATTGTTCCTACTATTTACCATGAAACACAGACTTCCGAACGTTATAGAAATTCGCTTGAGAATCATCTTGAGGAAGCTCTGGATGATTTACCGATTGCGGAAGTTCAGAACTCTGTTGGTTTCAACAAGATGGCGCTCCGGTACATAATTCCAGAGAAGTCCGTGCGTATTTATCCCTTGGCCGGCGCGGTCGCCTGATTTAACACAGCTGGATTTTTTCTTAGGGGATATATCGAACTTTGTACACGCAAATAACTTTGAGGATGAAGAAGAACTAAGGGACAGTGTCTTCGAAGCATTCAATAGAATAACCCCAGAAATGCTTAGCAATGTCTTAGAAACAACTGTGAGAAGAGGATATCTTTGTTCAGAAAATAATGGTTATCATTTTGAACATTTGTTATGAATGTCTCTGTAGGTATTGTCAAAGTTAAGTTGTTAAAGTAATTCGTGTAAGAATTCATCAACAATTTTAAACACTGCATTGATCGAATGATGTAGTGAAATATTTTTTATTCACTTTTCAGTATTGAATAACTAATCCATCAAGTTTGACACTGAATGATAAGAAATAAGTGGAACTGATGGCTTTTTTTCTTTTGGAAGTTCGAAAAAACATTGATGATGGATAGAAATAGGTCGAAACACATTCGAATCACCTTGTATAGTACATTGTTGAATTCAGAATAAAAAAACCTTTCAGAATCTGTGAAAAAATTATCAGGACCGTATTTAAAAAACAAAAGTTGATGATGGTTCCACGAATACGAAACGTCGCATAAAAAAATCGGTATCACCACGTTAAACCTCATCAAAAGTTGCAATGAAAAAGTAATTTCAGTTTTTCTGTATCTCTGATAATAACGGAGAAAAAAAATAAAATAGAAATTCCAAAAATTCACTTTTTTCGATATAACTCAAAAACTAAAAATAATTTTCAAAATTTTCGAAGGCTCTTGATATGAGCCTCCGAATGCGCAACTTTTTCCCTATTTAAGCGACTTCGTATCTCCTACCGTTTCCGAGATCCCCATGCTGTTCAACCTTATCTTGGACAGACTGTATATTCATGTTGGGAATCATTTTTCACGAACACTTAATATTTTCTGAATGTAGGTATAATTTTTTAAATGGTAAGGCATATGCCTCTTCTTTTAATCCTCCGTTTTAATCTTAACTGTTTCTACTAAAATCCATTAAAAAACTTGTGGAGTGGATAATTATAGGTACAATGAGAAAGTATATGTGATTTCGTATCAGTTTTACCTCGAATATTTTGCTGATGTATTTACCAATTTTCCCCATTTGGTCACTTCACTTTCTATGTTGAGTTCATTTGCATTTGATGGAAAGCTGACAAATTCAAATTTGCCATCCAACTGATACAGCCTAACGCAGCACATTTTACCATACCATACCATAACAGAATCGAATAATTTCGTATTAATCAAGTATGTAATTGAAATTTTGTAAGATCTCTTTTAACGCCTATGAATGTGACGTGACAGCAATGTCATGTCAGGGACGCCAATACACGAAACCAAAGTCACTAGATGATTGAAAGAGAAAGGAGCTATGATCTGTTCGTACCCTGTTAGATGACAAATACGTCAGTTTGCATCAAGGGACCCTAGTTTTGACTAGAGTAACTTTATGAATACATTGACGACAATAGTGGTACACTTTTTGATTGGTCAGACCTTCAATATGGAGGTGCATTCACCTGTCTTGTTTTCTTCATTCAATTCTACGCATTCTATTTCACTTTGTCAATGTTTTGTCTCTGTTTGTTGCTCTTTGGTCACTAAACATCCAACAATCAGACATGAAACTCTATATGTCAGTACTTCGTATTTCAACTACTAGAATCCATTTTTTGGGACTCATAAGCCTCAGATTATTTAGATGATGAAATGAAAATATCAAATATCTGAACCTAACATCAGGTGGGAACTTTGAAGGGGCAAATTCATTACTTCATGGGAGTTTCCTTCAGATTTTTAGCTATATTTTTACTTAAGGTAATTTCGGAAACTTACACAGGTCACCAACCCGATCCAAATAGATCACGTGACGGATCACTCAGATCTGACTTAGATCACCTACCCAGATAATATAGATTACGGACGTATGAAGTAATGGACCTTGGCGTGCCATGGGTCAAAATCTTTTGCTGGGTCACTCAGGGTTGGATCTGAAAACACTGAATACAAACTCGTCTTCGTTTAGGAGAGTATTCATTCATTGCCTTTCAGCATGTCATCATTCATCATCTTTAAAACAATTCTCGAAGTTAGTGCTGATATTGTTGGGAAGATTGTGATGTTCCTGTTATTCATGACATTTAGCTTGAACAACACACAGAATGAAATCAGAATAAAATACGGAAAACAAATGAATATAACCAAATTTTATTATTTGGTGATGCGCATGCGGTGGCTTTGTAGACTCCTGCTGTCGAGTACGGATACTATAGACAAACCTGAGTAAGTGATCGAGAAAGCAACACCGAAGTTCACGAATACGGGTATGCAACTCGGGTTAGGTAAACGAACGTGCAGGTTAATGATCGAGCCAATCCGAGTAGGTTTCCGAAAAGACCTTCAGACTCAGTAGCGATTTTGGTATGTTCACTAACGCAGGATCGAATACCTTTGTTGAATATTCATCAGATTGAACAATGTTTTATGGATTATCGGCATTTTAGGTTAAAAATAAAATCATACCCAATGCTCAGTTTGGTTTTCAAGCTGGAAAAGATACAAATGATGCAATTTTTTCTTCTTTGTTTGACGTATACCAAGAGATAAATCGAGGTGAAGTTACTGCGGCAGTAATCTGTGACTTGTCTAAGGCGTTCGACTGTGTGAACCACGGAATACTGTTGCAGAAGCTTTACCACTATGGATTCACGGGTTGTGAAAACAACAACATACTCCGATGAGTCCACTGTAGAATGTGGTGTACCTCAGGGGTCTATACTTGGAAAAAATTTCAAAAAATACATCTAGGCTAATTTGACACTACCTCTACACATCATGCCACCCGGCAAGCTGGTAACATCAAGTTACCAATTCCATCATCAGCTCTAATTAGAGATTCAGTAATTGAATTCAAAAAGAGAATATAAGCACTCTTTTCGGATAAATCCTTTCATGATTTACAGAGTCAATGATACATATTAACCATAAAATCATTTTTAATAGGAATATTTTGATATATTGTAATGAATCCTTTATGACCTACGTTTAACTAGTGTTTGAATTTCAAATAGATTTCAAAATGATTGTGTTGTTAGTAGCGATTTCCTCCAGTTCTAGTTTTTTTATTACTTTGTCAATATAATTTTACATCTTTAGACAATGAAGCATATTCTCTTTCTCTCTCTTGTGTTGTGTTGACCGAAATAACAGAGCTTTATGAGTGTTGTGTACCAGAGTACTGAGGAAATTATAGGAATGCTCCAAAAGTTCATCGTTTTAGTGTCACCTTGGATGTTGACCTGTCTAGGAAGTGGATAGCAGCCATTCACCGAAAAAGCCGGATCATGTAGCTAAAGGTGTTTTTAGAGTTATATTAGTGAGAGATGTAGTTATTGTGATTCTGTATCGTGTATTGTATATCGTAGTTAGTAAGTTTCCTACTGAGTGTTTGTGAAAAACTGAACCCGAACTTTATCGTAACAGTATATTGATGAATGACACTGAAACCTTTGAAGATTCTACGGAACTCACCCTAACTTTATAAGTCCCGGGCAACATTTTAGTGGTTTTCCCGTTCTCTGGAAGCGCTATTATCACTCCGAGCGTGTCCCCTTCCCCCTACCCCTCGCCGTACCTCGTGCCGTGCAACTCGTGGAACCTGGTGCCCCTTTTCCAGCGCCACGAGTACCCCAACTTGCAGCCGAAACTAATACGCGAGAATGATTCGATTTATATCTTACAACACGTGAGAATCACATTTTTTTATTACATCTTAACATTTTACAAATTAATATATTGTTTACCTGTAATCATTCTAGCTACAATAATTTCTCATTGTTCAATATTAGTTAGGTCATACAGTTTAGTACTTTCATTTGGTTTGTATCACTTGTCACGCAGTCATTCTGTCATGTATTCTGTCATGTCATCCTGTCTTGTCAATCTGCACTTTCTGATGTTTCACCTATTCTTTGCTTTTGGCTGTTGTCAAAGGGCCACCAGTGATGAAAATCTTGTTGGGTTAATTTTGATTTATGATTTCAAATTTCAATTTCCCGCTCTTAACGATGTTGATTTGCATTATTGATTTGTTCTTTTGGCTGTTTAGTCGATTTGAAGAACAACATACTTGATTACTTGTCTGTTTTTCCGGTTTTTGACCTAGTTTTTAGTTAAACGCATCTCCACATGTCTTCTTGGGTAATTTTTTCCTCAATTGTTTATTGTCTATTTGTAATTGCATAATCGTAACAGGTATTTTATGTGTCTGAAGATGGCCGTTGAGTCGAAACTATTCACACAAACTTGATTTGTTGATATAATTTTTGTGGTCGACCGACTTTGTGTTATTCTGTTTTTTCCTCGAAAAAAATTATAATTCAGTTAGCAAACTACTACACCTAGCTGTATCAAGTGGAAAACAGCCTCAAATTTCCGTAGACAAAATCCTACATGGTCCTTTGAGCCGGCTCATGTAGCTAAAAGTGTTTTTCGAAAAACTAAACCCGAACTTCATAGTAACAGTATATTGATGGATGGCACTAAAACTCACCCTATCTTTATAAGTCCCGGGCAACATTTTAGTGGTTTTCCCGTTCTCTGGCAGCGATATCATCACCCCGAGCGTGTCTCCTTCCCCGTACCCCTCGCCGTACCTCTTGCCGTGCGACTCGTGGAACTTGGTGCCCCTTTTCGAGCGCCAAGAGTACCCGAACTTGTCGTAGCCGAGCGGCGCCTGCAGGTTCGCGTAGTCCTGGCCCCAGCCGATCCGGGTTGCGGAGCCTTCCGGCATCTCTTCGATGGTGGTCTCGAAGTACCAGGTGCCTTTGGTGACGCCTTTATATCGACGGATATCAGATTGATCAATTAATATTCAATAACCAATCAGATAACATTGAGTTTTGCAATAATAGGAGATGTGAAGACTAATTTCAAACCAACGCTCTGTTCGTTTGTGTTGCTAAACTTGCTGAAGTTGATTTTGATCCCATAGTTTAGCAGGTAGAGCAACCACAAACGAACAGGCCTCAAATGTTGAAAACTATTCTTGCATAATTGAAAATATCTCACAGGATATAGGGGCTTCCTGGTCATCTGTATATAGCAGAAAGCAGTTAAAGACTATACCTACCTTTGTGGATTATCTTATATGAAATACAAAAAATGTATTGATGATCATCAAAATACGAATCCACAGGAGAGCATAGCCGGAAGTTTAAACAAAAAAGAATTTTCGATAATCATCAATAAAAGAATTGTATTTGTTGAGATTATTTCACTCAATGATTTCATGAATTGAATTATAATTTTACGTCGTATGATGATCTTTTTATATTCCATAGAGCAATCAGTATGTGTAAAATGGGTTTGAAATATCTGATAAATGAAACAGTGACAACTGAGCACTTATTTTTTATTTTGAATATATTTCAACATCACTGTATTCACAAAAAGAATTGAAAGTTATATGGTTCCATTTAAAAACAAATTGACAGTTGCTGACATTACAATTGAAATTTGAAAAAGTAATGATTAGAGCCTACTCATAGTATCTGATGTCATATCTTTTCTTCTTTGTTTCAAAATCGGGCAATTATTAGTGACGCTATCTTGGGGCATTTTTTTGTCAGTGAGGCTGTTGTCTGTGCGTTTTTATGTTTGTAATGTTTTGCAATTCATTCATATTTTTATATGGATTTTACAACATTTTTTTAGTTCTTGATATTATGACTTATCACAGATACATACTGTACCAAAGTGGCTAATGAATTGATTACCATATTGTAATACAACAAGTGAGAAGTGATTTTGAGGATCAAAATATGTCGCTTGGAAACCACAGGAGCGCATAGCGGAAGGAATTTTCGAAAATCATTATTAAATCCATGAACATCATACTAGACAATATGACTTGTTTCATCTTGATGCTGCTAATTCTACACTCGGTCAAAAAAAGTTCACTCACGGAGCTATCTCAAAATTCAATAAATTACCTGATATAAAAAGTTGCACAAATATCATCCAATTCAAAATCAAAGTCAAGAAACATATCCTCTTGCAAAGAGAAAATCAAACCTGAGTGAATGATTTCTCATTCACTAATTTATTTCATTATGTCATAATGTACTTTTCATGAGATTTTTGTTTTTATTATTATTTTTATTTTCAGTTCTAAAAATTGTTTTAAAATTGTTCTATCCGTCATTTGGTTGCCCCCTTACGAACAACCTCAGAAGTCTTCGAGAGTCTTGTGTCAGCAAGGAATGACGGGGGCCTTACCTTTTAACGTGTGATCCCAAACACTTTCTTGGGTCATCAGAAAAATTTCTGCAGTCGCTGGGAATTGAACCCACGATCAGCAAACGAATGCGAATTAGAATACTGACACTCTGTCCGCACGACTATCTGACCCCTTATCTAAATAATCTGAGACGTGTCTCAAATGAGTTATTCTAGTAATTAACATCCAAGGGCTTGAAGAGTTTTTGAGCCAACTTCATTACTAGACTGGTTTTAATTGATATCTAAGAACCTGAGACTGATTCTAGTTGAGTTTCACTTGTTTGAAAGCTTGAAATCCGGAAACCCAATTGGTCTGAGTGAACTCTGCTGAACATCATAACAACCCTAGACTTCAATATTTTTCAACTCTTTGCTTATGATATGAAATTTTGATGAATTATTCATCTGTTGAAATGATGATGACCTGGTCCTAACTTTCTTGTTATTGGAAATTTTCCAATCAAATTCATTCGTAGCATTAGCAAGCGTAGTAGATTCTGTTCCAGTCAGGGTTGAAGATTTTTTTTTCGCATTTTTGTGAGTTGTTCCTGCTAGTTCCTGCAGACATAGTTGAGGATTTCGACCAATCAGAATCTAGGATTGAGCTGTCCTTGCACCCAGGCTGATGTGATGGGGAGTATAAATACGGAAGACAACTGAGAAATCGGGCTCTTCACGCTCTTCTCTTAGTGCTCTCATATTTCTTTTGAAGCCAGTGTAAAATATTAATGTATGGTGATTTCGTGTTGCACATGTAAGTTTGTATAATATTTTTCACCTTTATTCGCCCTGTATATATTTTCATTTAATTCCTGTTGTTTTTCATACCCGATACTCACCAAACCTGTGTATCCAGAAATTATATTTGGGATTAAGAGTTTTTTTGTGAGCAAATATTTCATACATCTTTCTCTGTGGTCATTCTTTTCATTTCCAATGAATTATTGAATGAATTTAATTTTTCATTTGTCAAATTGATTATTACTATTGACTGACGGCTGACATGGTTAGTTGCCAAGTCTTCTTCTTATTTTCCTTGAGTCTTCCTGTCCTGTGCGCTGGTGTCCCGGTGCTCTGTATCCACTCTGTGGTTGTGATTCATGAATATTTGCCATTGATGAAAAAAGATGATTAACCTCACTACAAGTCCGATATTGCAAATATTAGAGGAAATTGAAGGAAAAGGAGAAATCAATACAAATTGAATGTTTCATTCGTTTGGAATTGTGTTTCTGTGTGTATTCCAGGGTTTGTAATTAAAGCCTACACTCCCTTGGCTCCTTATTTATTCCAGATCGATTCAATAGCATTGACCCATGGTTTACTATAGCAGGTTCCAAGGTGAGCTAATCACTAGTAATCATCTCCTGTACCTCCCTCCACTGTCTGCAGAAGTATGAGAAGTAAATCACCATTATCAAGAATCTGGCGCCCGAGACATACGAAACAAATACCACAGTAGTCTCTGTCCGAACAGCGCCAAAGTAAGGGTCACTGAATAAAAAGCCACAACGTCCGACACCCTTTCATCATCAACACATATATTCCAATCAATCAAAAACGTGTCTTTTGAAATGGGTGGAATAATCATTATTATTATTGATAATACTCACAATGCGTCGCCCTGACGGTGGAGTACCCCTTGTCCCCGGTAGCCGCGAGCCGGTCCTCGGAGATCTTCAGTTGCGGCGCGCGGTCGTGCAGTGCCAAGAGGACCGCGGTCGGTATCGAGGTGCGGTACAACCAGCCGGGGATCGGCTTGCCCGCCCAATCAGAACTCTCGTCGAACTCCTAAAAGAAACGGAATTAATAGAAACTACTAAATAATACTCGAAGTCATCTACAGTTCTCTACACTCTAAATGGACCACTCATAATTTCGTTTTCGAAGACGTGTATTTTTTGAGAAAAGGGACCGATCTTCATGCGATTTTCGATTTCAGATGTCGGCTTCAAAGAGAGCTAGAACACTCTGGAAAAGTCCGCAGAACAAAACTCACACAGAGTGTAAAGTGGAACCATAACACTGTGGTCTACATTTCCAATGCTGCCAGAACTCGAGAAATTTTTTTCTGATCAAATGTCAGTCATATTATGATACACTGGGACCCCATCTCGAGACGTTTTCGTGATTTCTCCTCAATTGGTCAATGGAACAAAAATTTGACTCTTTTTCGAAAGTTTCATTTCTTGATTTTTTTCTCTAGAACTCCACTTGAGCTGACTATTGGGAAGAACTTTTCTCATGTTTTGTGGAGGTCAATGAAAGACGAAAAGAGCACTATTGTCGAATATACAGGATGATAAGAAAATAGGATAAAATCTCATTTCAGTAAAAAAAATTAAAAATGGTGACTAAAACCATGGCCCATTCGATTCAGTATATTCAGAAACGGACATTCTGGAGAATTAGGCCTCTAATTGAAATACAGGATGAAAATTTTCAATTCAAACTTGTTTCCTGATATCGATGATTCTTATCAACTGATTTCCAATATTTATTGCCCAAGTATGAGACACATAGTATTGTTGTTCAAAATACTGAGTGTTCCATATTTATTTTATCTGACAACTTTCAACCACAACTACAATATTACATGAGAAGCCTATCACATAAAAAATTTATAAAAGTAAAACGAGATGGAAAATAAAATTCATAACACTTTATATCCACAAAAACTATTCGAAAAGGGCTCTATTGGCGAAATATGACATTGGAGAATTCTTTAGCATTATGGAAATCCAACTAGATCTAAAATTTCAGTACTTGGTAGGCCTCCCCGATTCAACAAAACCTCATGAAATCGGTTTGGCATAGATTCTATGAGGTTGTTGATGAAGTCTATTGATATTGCCTCCAATTCTTCTGATACAGCTTGGATAAGGTTGTCATTATTTTTGGGTGCCTTTCGCCTTCTCGATAGGTTAAGTTTCATTCGGCTCCAATACACATGTTCAATCAAATTCAGATCTGGAGATAATGCTGGTCACCACACTCTTACATTATTGTTTTCTAGAGTTCGTAATTTGTCAGATAAGTTGTGGAACACTCAGTATATTCAACAACAATACTCTGTGTCTCATACTTGGGCAATAAATATTGGGAATCAGTTGAAAAGAATCATCGATATCAGGCGACAAGTTTGAATTGAAAATGTTCATCCTGTATTTCAATTAGAGGCGAATTTTCGAGAACGTCTCGAGTTATTAGTCTAATATAAATAATAAATATCGGGAAGGCCGTTTCTGAATATACTGACTCGAATGGACCATGGTTTTAGTCACCATTTTTTATTTTTTTACTGAAATGAGATTTTGTCCTATTTTCTTATCATCCTGTATATTCCACAATGGTGCTTTTTTCGTCTTTCATTGTCCTCCACAAAACATGAGAACAGTTCTTCCCAATAGTCAGCTCAAGTGGAGTTCTAGAGAAAAAATTCAAGAAATGCAAGACTTTAAAAAAAAATCGAATTGTTCCAATGATTTGAAAGAAATCACGGAAATATCCCGAGATGAGGTGCCAGTGTATCATCTGCGGACTTTTCCAGAGTGTTCTAGCTCTCTTTGAAGCCGATGAAATCACATCTGAAATCGAAAACCCCATGAAGATCGGTAAATTTTTTCAAAAAATACAGGTCTTCGAAATAGAGTCAAATTATGAGTGGTCCATTTAGTGTGTTGAGAACTGTAGTAGTAGTTACTACTTCACTCCACTTAGACGAACTATGGACTTCTTTTTTTTTTTCATGTTCTGGTTCCCACGAAAAGGGATATTCTGTAATGTTCAGAGAACAAGCCAAGGGAAATAAGGTAGGAATTGGTGATCTACTTGAATTTCAGGAGGTTATATGCCTCGGGAAACACCTCCCTTGGCAATGTGTTCCAGAACCTCGCTGTTCGTTGGATGTACGTGTCTTTGGAAAGAGATGTTCTGCAGGTCTCCAAAGTGACCACGAAGGGGTGCGAAGCCTCAACTCGACGGGTCAATCTCGCGGGAACTGCCAAGGGAGGAACAATTGTTGATATTTCAGAAGAGCATCGTCCATGAAACTATCTATAAAATAGAGCCAGATCGCCAACTTTTCTACGGTGTTCCAGAGAAGTGAGTTTTTGAGCGAGGCATCACCCACGAGACGAATTGATCTTTTTGGACAGAATCCAACAGTTTCAGGGTATGCTTGGGTGCTGCACTCCAAATATGGGAACAGTATTCCAGGACAGGCCGGATCTGTGCCTTATAGATCATAAGCAGCTGACTGGAAGTGAAATAACTCCTGGCCCGAACAGAAAACCAAGTTTTTGGGATGCACTTCTAGCAATTGATCTCACGTGATTTTCCCAAGAAAGGTTATTGCTGATAGTAATACCAAGCATCGGAATGGATGTCTCCAAAAGTATGGTTACTCCTGACAAGCTTATGTTGGGTTTTCTACACGTCACACTTGAAATAATTGTTAGAAAGCTAATGTGAATAGGCTTCTCATCATTCATTTGAATATCAAATCTATATTTGTTCAAATTACATCAGCAAGTATCTTCCAAAGTTTGATTTTTTTACTACGCAAACACAACTTATGGTGCAGTGTTTCACCTATCCTAGCAGGGGATTCGATTGCTAGCCTAGTCGGAGCTCTCGTCGAACTCCTACAGGAGAAAATAATAATAATAATAATAATAATAAACGTCTTTATTACTTCTGAATAGAAAATGATATTTAAAGTATGGGTGGATAATAATTTTCAGAAGCAAAGGGCGAAGTTCAACTCAGTTTCTAGATGACTCCGTCCACTGAATTGCTCTACCACTTAACCCTCAAATACCTCTACAATTCAACATATAGGAACAACAAAGGAAGAAATTAGAAAAAGTGAAAAAATAGTACATATGGATGATAACACATAATAGGAAGTCTGAATGTTGTTATTGATTTGAATTAAACAGATGTGAAATAGAAGTCTTAATCGCTCTAACAGAACATGACATAGAACTTGTTTTGTATAGAATCATCTCTTTCTATTTGAATAGATAATAAAGGGTTTCCCAATGAGAACACTCGACCTTTAAAGTGTAGTGAAATAAAAAGTTTAAATAAAACGGACATAATTTGATATTTATTTTAAAACACACATGGTGACATTATGTTTTGAAAATTATGTCATTTGAATGTCCGCCGCGGCTTTGGCTGATAAATCAAATTCTGCGAGTCCAGTTTTTGATGACCGTTTGTGAAGTTTTTACATACTTTCAAATTAGATGAAGAAAACAGGCTATTATTGCTACACCCGGTATTAATTGAAAGGAGATTTTTATGAAGATACAGATTGCATTCCAATATTTAGAAGGATATAAACATTCGAAATAGAGTCTAAATCGGACAAGTAGTTTTGACGAAAATGCACCTCAAACTTTCGGAAACTTTTTGGTGGTGCGTTAATTGTTCGGGGAAGTGTATGAAAATTTCACAGAAATTTCGAAATAAGTACCTGTCTGAATGGAGCATGAGCTACTATTGCTACACTCGGTATTAATAAAAAGGAGGTTTTTATGGAAATACAGTTTGCATGCCAATATTCAGGATATAAACTGTAATTTAAAACAGAGTCCAAATCGGAAAAGTAGTTTTGACGAAAAATAACCTCAAACTTTCGGATACTTTTTGGTTGTGCGTTGATTCTTTGGGGTAATGTATAAATATTTTACAAAATTTCAAAATCAGTACCTGTCTGAATGGAGCATAAGCTACTATTGCTACTCCCGGTATTATTAAAAAGGAGGTTTTTATGGGAATACAGTTAATAAGACCCAATATATAATTTTTCATCAAAGAAATAAATAAAATATTGATTTGAATATTGGAATAAAAAATGGAAGATTGAAACAAACTGCATAATACCAAATACCTTGGTATTTGGATTGATTAAAAGTTGGCATGGGACAAGCATATTGGCATGCTCTAAAAAAAATGTCCCCCATAGTTGGTGCCTTAAGAAGATGTCCAAAACTTATCCCAAATATAGCAAATACTATACTCTATACTCTCACATCCGTAGTAAAATGAACAATCTCATAAATATTTGGGGTTCATGTTCCAAGAATAATTTCAACAAAATATCTGTACTATATGAAAAAAGCATTAAAAGTACTGTATCATCTTCCATATGAAACCCCATCAAATCAACCTTATGAAGAAACAAATACATTTTCTTTGGAAGAGCACTATCTGATAAATACTCTCAAAATTTATCTTGATATCATCAACAAACACCTCAAATTTAACTTTATATTGGTAAGGAATTCTCAAATCCATAAACATCATACTAGACAATATGACTTGTTTCATCTTGATGCTACTAATTCTACACGTGGTCAAAAAAAGTTCACTCACGGAGCTATCTCTAAATTTAATAAATTACCTGATGATATGAAAAGTTGCACAAATATTACCTAATTCAAAATCAAAGTCAAGAAACATATCCTCTTGCAAAGAGAAAATCAAACCTGAGTGAATGATTTCTCATTCACTAATTTATTTCATCATGTCATAATGTACTTTTCATGAGCTTTGTTGTTTCATTATTATTTTTTTCTACATTTATGCAAAAAGCAGAACTTTATCGAACTATATTTAGTGGAAAAAGAAGTTTTTCTATTGCACTCATCTGTCATTCTACTTCAACGTGCTGCCATTATGACAAACATTTTTTATATTGCAACTGTGGTTATAGAAACGTCATATATTCATATTGAAAATTGCACCAATTGTTCATTCACTTTCAACATTGAGGGTAAAAATAAAGTTTGAGTTAAATTGTTCATAACGTATTAGTTCCTGTTTCAATGCAAATCGATATTAATAATAAGTATTCCTTGCTCGCACAAGACTTTCGAAGACTTTTGAGGGTTGCTCGTAAGGGGGCAACCGAATGACGGATAAAACAAATTTTAGAAATTTTAGAACAAATTTTAGAACAAATTTTTTAGTATTCAAGTTGCGTTTTTCATTTTCCTACACCTAGTGCCGCACCTCAATAAATCATTTTTTGCAACTCGTGCAATAAACATTCACTTTTTGCACTTGTTGCATACATAACTATTTTTGATTCTGTTGTTTATTTCAATAACTATAATTTAATTTGATTATGCATGAATAATCTCATACCAGATATGAATCTGTCTGATTATTCATGTTATTCCATTGTTAATGTAAATGATTATATTTATATTTATATGAGATGCAATGTAATGTTTATAGCAAAGAATGGAATAAATAAATAAATAAATAAATGCCAATATTAAGGATATAATCTGTCATTCATGAAAATAGAGTCCAGATCAGACAAGTAGTTTTGATGAAAATGCACCTTAATTCTTTGGAGTAGTGTATGAAAATTTCAGAAAATTTCGAAATCAGTACCTGTCTGAATGGAGCATGAGGATCAGGCTCCGCCAACAAATATCTGTACCCGTCCTTGTTGAAGGGATGATCCAAGGGGTAGCCGTGAGCAGGCAGTTTCGCCACTCCCAAATCCACGCCCCTGCCTTTCTTCCCTTGCAAGCCCACATCGCCGGGGTACTTCCTTTTCGCGTTTCTCGATTTCACGTTTGAGTTCGCTGAAACTGACATTATTATTACGTGCGAATCGTAAATATTTTTCGTGCATCGATCGATGTTTCTTATCTTTGTTATCGCAGATATGGGATTGTTATGGTATGCGTGACTTATACAAATTATAGCCAGGGTTGGAATAAGTCAGAATTAATTCCCAAAACAAAAATATTAACCTGAAAGAAATTCAAGTTTTTACTCTCTTCAAGAATCTTAACACTCAATATTCCAAATTTTTTGGGATTTTCTCCCTTCGTTTCTATAAAATAAAAATATGAATATTATTTCAATATACGTGTAGTAAGGAAAAATCAGATGATTTGCCCCAAAATGTCACTGCGTTTGAAGAATTTTCCTATCAGAGAGCCTAAAAGAAAAATTCACTAACTTGTCAGTGACAATTTGTATTGAAAAAAGTTTGGAGAAGAGAAATAAAGGTATATAGAAAAAATATCAAATTTTCACTTATCTTTGGACGTTTCGGGGCCGATTCTGCTCCCGTTTTCAACATGAGAAGAGATTATTTCAAAAGTCGTATAATATGTCTTTAAGCTGTTCAGTTTTCAATGACAATTGGTGACGTTAGCAATCAAATGAGTTACAGGATGTTTTCATTAATTAATCTTGAATTTACCATTTTCATGTTCAGATTTTAGTAGTGAATAGCATGTTCTGTCTATATCAACTGAACATAAAGCAATGCTATTGTCTCCGTTCAGAAGAATGCAAGCAGATTCCTTGATTTTTCTCTTCTGGTTGTTATCTTCTTTTCCAATGATTTTAATATTATTCCACTCTGCCATATGTTGTCCGTCTTCAGTAAGGATATCTTCAGCTAGTTTCGATTTATCGATGTTTCTTTTCTTTATATTGTACTTATGTTTCCTTCGTCCTTACTGAAAGAGGTCTCTTGGTTTCACCTGTATACAACTTTCCACAAACACAAGGTATACTGTAAATACAATTTTTTGACGATTGTTCTTCATTTTTCGGCTTTGTTTGAGTTAGAATTGATCTCATTGTAATTTCAGTTTTGATACTTTTTCTATATACCTTTATGTCTCTTCCTCAAACTTTTTTTCAATACAAATTGTCACTGACAAGCTAGTGAATTTTTCTTTTAGTCTCTCTGATAGGAAAATTATTTAAACGCAGTGACATTTTGGGGCAAATCATCTGATTTGTCCTTACTACACGTATATTGAAATAATATTCATATTTTTGTTTTATAGAAACGAGGAGAGAAAATCCCAAAAAATTTGGAATAATGAATGTACCACCTCCTCGATTAACCTACAGACAGTATTTAATAGTAGATTATACCACGAGTCAATAATGATAGCTATTATTCTCGAGGATTTTTTACGAATCGAGCCGCGTTAGCGGCGAGGGAGTAACATTCCGAGAGAATAATAGCCATTATTGCGAGTAGTATACTCTACTTTATTTGCGACTAATATATAAACTTGTGGTTTTTGAAGTATAATGCCATATATTAATCCCGCAGGGAATAATGGCGAGGGATTAATAGTCTTTATTCCCTGCGGGATTAATATATGGCATTATACTTCAAAAACCACAAGTATAATATATTAGTCGTGAATAAAAAATCTTAACTCGTTGACTGCCGGGCTCATATTCACACTTTTGGTGTCAGAGCCGAAGCAAAATTCAAAAATTTGTCCCAGCAACCATCAGTGACTCTATGTAGCTTTTTGATAATTGGGACCCTAGATCCTAAAACTTCAAAAATGTCAGCTCGGTCTTATTGACCGACTCGGCACTCATGTATATGTATAATATGTATACCTGTGTACGCCGCGTCGGTCTGGTAGCTCGGTTCGGCCGACTTCGGCCTCGGTCTAGTGGTCTAGTGCTGTACAAAATACTTCTCTCAACTTTCTTTTTTGAATATGTCACGTGTATCTCGATTGTGTAAGTGATATTTGTTTAGTTTAGAAAATGAGCAGATTTCAAGATCGTATAAATTCACTGAGTCAGAGGATAGAGATCAGCCCCTAATTTCAAATGAATAACGCACCTTCTGTTAAGTATGTCCTGAAGAACCAGTATTTTTCCTGGATTGTTGCAGAAAATTTCATAAGAATATATATATAGATTAAGTACACTCACATTCGATTATATTTACTTTCTCCGCAATATTGACAATAATGGGCTTATATCACAAAAAATTGTTACATCAAAATTCGATAGAACTCACTCAAACTAGCTCAACACCGCAAACCGTTTCTTGCTGTGAGCTCCCTACGTTTTATAAAAAATTATTGAAATCCCCGATTTTTCGGACCTCTGTAAACGAGGCGATGATGTGACGTCAAAACCCTAATACTAAAACAAGACTATTCCAGACAGATATGAATGATACGTGATTTCTGACAGAGTGAATAAGCGCGAGATCACAGTTGGAAGAATTAATATATCAGTTGCCTCAGTCTCCGTCGGGCGTTTGGTATTTTCTTTTAACTATGGCGAGATGAGGTTTCTACGTCATAAGATGGTCCGTTTTCAGAAGATACTATTATTTATGTGCAAAAATAAAACATTCCAGTTAATTTTTCGATCGAATTATGTCGTCAATCATTATTTATGTATAATAGGATCATTATAAACATGGTTGGAGTTAAAAGTTCTACTAAGGTGTACACGCCCATTCAGACCGACGGCTTCACGAGTCGTTCAATTGTCTCGGTCTCATAGGCCGAGTCGGCCTGGTGTATCAACCTCAATCCCGGTCTATGAGACCGAGGCGGCACGTCAGGATATTTTTTCTCGGTCCTATAGACCGACATGGCAGTAAATGTTTTGAGGCATAACCATAAAAAACAGGAAATTTTCGCCAAACAAACTGAAATTGTTGCTTGAATGAGAAATAATAAATACATATTTTCGGATGTATGACAAAATGATATTCCTCATACAGGACGTGAAAATAAATTCTGAATTGAAGAAGTCTAATCACGAATCTGCGATTGAGGGTCTATAAAAATAACAAGTTTCCATCCAAGTTTCAACAGAAAACAACTATTCGCCACGTCGAACATTGAATTATATCTGTTGAACGGCCAAAAGGAGAGCATGAAAAATAAAAATCCTCTGAAATTGAGAATTGACAATCTCTCAGATCTGATAAATAATAATATATTATATATACATATAATAATGATGTATTATGATACAAGAATATAACTTACCAATATGTTCAGTATTGAAAGTTCAAGTTCAAGTTTATTTCGTCATTTTTGATACAAATTGTATATGTGACACGTCGAAAAAAAAAAAAAAAACAAATATACAAACAAAGTACTCAAGAATAGTACAGCAAATACATCATATTAAGAGAGGTTCTCATACCCTTTGAGGGAGTAAAAGCAACTTGTTAGAAGATATTCTTTGAGGAGCTTTTTAAATTTCACATATTTTTTTTCTTCTTTGATGGTTTGGGGACGTAAATTGAAATATTTTGTTCCTGAGTAATTTGGGGATTTTATATACCCGGAATAGTTACATTTGGTCAAATGGAAATATCATTTCTGTTCCTTGTAAAATGATGATGGATTTGCTTTTGGGTGTATGATAAATTGACATTCATCATACAGGGCGTGGAAATGAATTCTGAATTGAGACCCTATCACGAATCTGCGATTAGAGGTCTATAAAAATCACAAGTTTCCATCGTTCAAGTTTGAACCCCCTGATTGGGTATGAAAGTGTTGAAAAGGAATATTCTCAGATAAATTATGAACATACATGATGGATTTCTTTATTCTGCATGAAAGATACGGAATTTAAATGAACATAACTTAGCGTTTTATAAAGGTAAATGCATCGTAGTGTAAGAATACGGTTATTCTTTGCAAGATTCTCTATATTTGACATCAAAAATCAGACGCAAAAAACGTTTTTGCATAATGAAGATCCGATTTACATCTGATGCTAGTCCCCAAATGGAAATATTTATGAAATGAAAATTAAAATGTATAGGAGAAGTATTGTATAAACTCTGATCTTGAAGAGCTTGGAAGTTCCATAATAATTTATCTGAGAATATTCCTTTCAAATAAATACATAAACATGCAACTTAAAAGTCCTCATTAGAAAAGTCGAGTTTTTCTCCTGTGGGCGCTCCAAGGTTTTTATTTATGATGCTCAGGATGTCACAATACCATTGGACTTTTTTGGTTTGAACTAGTTTAAACTAAAAGTAATAATGCGAGTTGTTCCCAGTGAAGAAAGTTTGAATCAATGCAAAACTTCTTTGAAAATAGTCATTTGAATTAATTATTCACAAGTTAAATTACGGATTGAATTCATATGAATCAATTCGTTCCAACCCTGCTTATAACTACTACCAGGAAAATTAGTATTATTGGTATTCGGAATGCTGATAAAATACGGGATGACTATAGTGGACTGTGTGCATTGGAAATTTTAGAACATGTATAGTTAGATAATATAATCCATGCTGTAGCGATGACATGAAAATATATTGTTGAATCAGACAATTGTTCGAAAAACTGGTATCTTGTGAATAATCATCACTGATGAACAAATTGAAAAAATATTTGTAGAAACTAATAATATTCGAAGGCTTGTTTTGCATGAACCAAAATATAATCGGGTCCGAAATAGGAATGCAAGGAGTTAGAAAAATGAATGAAGACATCAAAAAATAAAAAATTGAAAAAATGAAATAACTTTAGAAAATTTCAAAAAAATTAAAGAATCAAATAATCAAAAAATGAGTAAATCCACGCCCATGGCCTCCTTCCCTTGCAAGCCCACATCGCCGGGGTACTTCCTTTTCGCGTTTCTCGAATTCACGTTCGCGTTCAGTGAAACTGACATTATTATTACTTGCGAATCGTAAAGATTTTTCGTGCATCGCTCTTATCTTTATTATCGCAGATATGAGATTGTTATGGTTTGCGTGATTTATTACAAGGGTTGGATTGAGTCATGATTTTTATAAGGATAGTCTAGAAAGTCTTTT